AGTGCTTGGATTCCAAGTGTGAGCCGCCATGCCCAACCAATTTTTAAGGGTATGTATAGGGTCCTGAAACCAGGGGGAAAAATAGAAAACCACTGAGTTATCAGATCCAGCTAAGGAAAAATTCAGCAGCAGAAAGGCTGAACAAAGGGAGCCTTTTCAGCCCCGACCCAATCTCCTGGGCCTGGCCCTGCAGATATCTGCATTTGGGCATGGAATAGCCAAGCTCAGCCTATGATGGGAAAGGCAAAAGCAGGAAATAAGAACCTCTTTGGGACCTTGAGGAAGGCACACACGCTGGTCATTCTCAGTCTTGCTCCTTCAGGCCCTTACACCCTGGAGTTCTGACATAGCCATGCTGTTGCAGATGGGAGTTTTTAGAGGGGTTTTCCAGAATGGCCAGACATGCATGTCCAGCTCATCTCAGCCTGCCCAGCAGACTCCATGGAATTACCAGGAAGGAAACGGTAGCCTGGAACCTACAGCCCCCATGGGAGGCATGTTCCTGAGAAGGTCCATGAATTTCTTCTCATTTTACCTTCCCATAGATCCCAGGCGGGGGAGGTGGGTGGGCCAAGAAGAAAGGCCTGAAGAGGTCAGTTTGGGGGCTGGCACAGCCTTGTTTATACATGTGGGCACCAGCCATCTCCCCAGAGACAGAGGGCTCATCTAGATTTCTCTATATTGAAAGTATTAATCAGTTTTTAATTCAGGAAGCAGAAAGCATTGTAGGTATTTTGAGCAAGAGATGATTTAATGTAGGGAATTGGGCGTTCACAGAATCATCGGAAGAGCTCATGGAGCAGGGTGTAGGCTGAGCATCCAGGAATGATGAGCTTGCCCATCAGGCGAGCTGCTCCCTCTGAGAGAGCCCCCAGAACTGTGAGTCTGAACAACACCTCTGGAGCTGCAATTCAGGAGTAAAGCTGGAATCAAGAGGCACAGTGGTTCATGCCTGTAATCCCAGCATTTTGGAGAGCCGAGGCTGGCAGATCACTTGAGCTTAGGAGTTCAAGGCCAGCCTGGGCAACATGGTGAAACCCCATCTTTTCTAAAAATATAAAACATTAGCCAGGCATGGTGGTGCACGTCTGTGGTCACAGCTATTTGGGAGGCTGAGGTGGGAGGTTTTTTTAAAATAAAAAAAAATCTTTGCTATTGCTTTCATCATTTCACCATCACTACCACTGCCTCTGAAGCCTCAGGTAGGTGGAAACTGGACTGGAATGTTCTATAGGAAAAGAAGACCTGATGTTTTCATGACCTGGTTTGCTAGCAAAAACAGACAATGTGCACACAAAGATGGCCTCTGCCTCCCATTCACTTGCCAACTCTCATGCAGCATGTCTTAATGACAAAACCTAATTTGCATCCAGAATCCCAGCTGCAAAGGAGTCTGGGAAATGCAGGGGTTTTGTGGGTTTTACTTTTTTGGTTTTTTGTTTTTAAACAGAGTTTTGCTCTTGTTACCCAGATGGGAGTGCAATGGCAAGATCTCAGCTCACTGCAACCTCCTCCTCCCAGGTTCAAGAGATTCCCCTGCTTCAGCCTCCCCAGTAGGTGGGATTACAGACATGCACTACCACGCCTGGCTAATTCTGTATTTTTAGTAGAGACAGGGTTTCTCCATGTTGGTCAGGCTGGTCTCGAACTCCTGACCTCAGATGATCCGCCCACCTCGGACTCCCAAAGTGCCGAGATTACAGGCATGAGCTGCCGTGCCTGTTGGTAAAGGAAAAGCAGTTTTTAACTTTCTACCTCTCCAGCCAAGATGGAAAGCGAGAACTGAAGGAGCCAATCCCAGGTGTACACCCACCAGAATCATCAATACTGCATTTTCCAAGAGCTGCATTCTAAGGAGCATAAAGCAGGGGAATAAGCCAAAATGCCACGTGATTAGACGTCATGATTTCCCGAATTCTCTCTTGGAATTCCCCCTAGTGCAACTAGGAGAGATCTGGTAGCCACACATGGGGCTTTATCTTGGCTGTTGGCCACAATAGGGAAGGATGGCTGGCAAATCCATGGAGTATCTTTTTGTTTACACTTCAGTCTCCAGTGCTGATGGTTTAAATAAAGGCTTTTCCTGCAGTCAGAATGACTGATGTATAGAAGCATGTCTCTAAGCTTGCCTTCCAGCCTTGTAATATAAGAATTGTGGGCCGGGTGCAGTAGCTCGTGCCTGTAATCCCAGCACTCTGGGAGGCCACGATGGACAGATTGCCTGAGCTCAGGAGTTCGGAACCAGCCTGGGCAACACAGTAAAACCCTGTCTCTACTGAAAAAGAAAATACAAAAAATTAGCTGGGCATGGCAGCGTGCACCTGTAGTCCCAGCTACTCAGGAGGCTGAGGCAGGAGAATTGCTTGAACCCAGGGGGCAGAGGTTGCGGTGAGCCAGGATTGCGCCACTGCACTCCAGCCTGGGCGACAGAGTGGGACTCCATCTCAAAAACAAAAAAATGTGAAATCTAAAAATATCTGGGGGGAATTGGACATTTATGTTTAAGAGAACTCTTGTAAATAGAGGGATAATTCATGAATGGATTGTTGTTTCTTCCTAGACCACACAGATTCCCCCATAGAATTGCCCCTACTACTCTAATGAGTCAACACTAGGCTCTTGAAGATTATACACTATTCTTTTCTGGGCAGAAACATGATTTGGTCCATAACTGAAAACCTGCGTACATTATAGTAAGTTACTGATGTTCATCCCTACTTTTAATCACTCAGCAAAACTTTCTTCTAATAATTTTTTTTTTTTTTTTTTTTTTGGAGATGGGGTCTCATTCTGCCAAACAGATCTGGTGCAATCTCGGCTCATTGCAACCTCCACCTCCCAGGTTCGAGCGATTCTCATGCCTCAGCCTCCCAAGTATCTGGGATTAGATTACAGGCATGTGCCACTACACCCGGCTAATTTTTTGTATTTAGTAGAAATGGGGTTTCACCATGTTGACCAGGATGGTTTCAATCTCCTGACTTCATGATTCACCCCACCTCTGCCTCCCAAAGGTCTGGGATTACAGGCGTGAGGCACCTCGCCCAGCTTTTTTTTTTTTTTTTTTTGGAGACAGAGTCTTGCTCTGTCTCCCAGGCTGCAGTGGAGTGGTGCGATCATAGTTTACTGTAGCCTCCAGCTCCTGGGCTCAAGTGATCTTCCTGCCTCAGCCTCTCAAGCAGCTGGGACTATAGGTGTGTGCCACTACACTTGGTTTCAGTGAACATTCTGTGTTTCACATTCAGTACAGCATTCAGTAAATTACATTGCTGTTCAACCCTATTATAAAATAGGCTTTGGGTTAGATAATCTTGCCTAACTGTAGGCTAATATAGGTGTTCTGAGCATGTTTAAGACAGGCTGTTCAGTAGGTGAGGTGTATTAAATGCGTTTCCACTTAGGATATTTTCAACTTACAATGGGTTTATTGGGATGTAAACCCATCCTAAGTCAAGGAGCATTTGATTTTGTTTGCTAATGTTTAAAATAAAAGCATTCTTTGCCCTCGAGGAGAGAAACTTTTGGCACTCAGGAGATGACTTGAGCTTTTGGAGACCTGAGACAGAGGTTCCAAGGGCAGCCCTGGCTGACTCCCTGGAGGTGGCTTTCTTCATAGCTGAGGAGAGTTCTCTGGAAGGAGGCATCTTTTTCCTGGCGGGAGCACTTAGCTGCGTGTCAAGCGGAGAGACTGAAGTGACAGCACAGGCGGGACGCTCCAAGAGCCCTGACGGACTTGGGATGGCTGGAGGCCTGGCCGCCTGCCCCTGGCTGTCTGCCCCCCTCCCTGGCTTAGTTTGAAAGGAAGTACAAGAGTGGCATTGGGAGGGGCTGGGAACAGGCAGGAGCCGGGAGACCGACTTTTGGGCTTTCATCAGAGAGAACAGCATGAGGGAGGAGGCACAGGGCCCCAGGGCTATCTTGCTCCTGTGACTGAGCGGGGAAGAGCTCCGTCCATTCTGGGCAGAGCAGGTGGGTGTCCATGGAGTCATGAAGCCACAGGCTGCCCTCCGGGCTCCTTGGCGGCAGGGAGGTCTTTGGATGGCGAAGTGGTCTGAGGGGCTTCAGGAGCCTTGCCAGAGCTGGCTGAGGACAGAAACGCGTCCCAGATTGGTAGAGACCCGCCTCCCTGGCTGAATCAGAGTTGGTGGCCACGGGCAGGGGTGGGCGTGGCCTGAGCCACAGTCAGGAACCAGCACAGGCTGTGCGTGTGGCGTCCCCTGGTGGCACAGAGTGGGCCTGTGCATGGTGCCCCTGGAGTTTGCAGCTCTGAGCCTGTCCCCACCTCTCCCTCCCCTCCTGGGCTCTTAGTGATACTCCAGCTGCTGGGACCATTCCTCCCTGTGGGACTTGTGGCCGCAACTCTTCTCTGAGCGCCAGCCTGGGGGCAACCCTGGCCTGGCACAGGAATTGGTGTCGGCCCAACTTGGCCTAGGTGCCAGATGAGGAAGGAGTGGTCATTAATGCTGCTCAGCAGCGTGATATGCGTCGTCCCATTTGGCATCGGGACAGCCTGGATGAGGAGGTATCACACACATGCTGTGGATGGAGAAACAGGCTCGGGTGCGCTGGTCAGAGGGGACAGTGACGTGACACTGCTGGTGGCAGCCCTGGGTTTGGACCTGGGTCTGTGAGACTCTTAGCTATGCAGCCTTTCCCCTCTGCAGAGAGGAACACTTGGGGACCCCCAACTGAACTCTTTGGAGGGGACAAGGGTCCCCAGTTCCACACACTGGGAAACCCCCTTCTCTGGGCCACCTGAGGGCCCTCAGGTTCTGCTAATGCCCCATGATGGAAACTCCATCTGTGCATTGCAGGTACAATTAGGGTCTCTGTGAGCAGGAGAAGGTCCCCTGCAAGGGGTGACCAGCCTTGGTGGCCGCCTGTGAGCCTGTGTGTGCTTAAGGGGTCCCTGTTCAGGGAGCAACCCCCCAGGCCTGACCCTCTCTGCTGCCCTGCAGGGACCCGACCCCCATCCTGACCCTCTCTCTACTGCCCCGCAGGCCCTTCATGCTGCTGCCGCCCCTCATGGAATGGATGCGTGTGGCCATCACCTATGCAGAGCACCGCCGCAGCCTCACTGTGGACAGTGGCGACATCCGCCAGGCGGCCCGGCTGCTGCTGCCTGGTCTGGACTGTGAACCTCGGCAGCTCAAGTAGGAACCCAGGAGGAGGGAGGGCCCCTGACATCCATGTCCTGCCCCCAGCGGCTCCCCTGTGTTCCTTCTTCCCTGGGTGGCTGGGAGGGGTCAGAGAGCAGGGGCTGCAGAGCATTCAAGCTGCTCTAAGGGAGTTCTCTGCAAAGGCCAAGCCTGAGTATGGGAACAGATCTACTCTAGACCTTGGCTGCTGTCCAGCAACATCTCCTGCAGCCGCTGGTCTGCTGCATAGAGGAGACACACTGGGATTGGGGCAGGAGACCCACACGTCTGACTCTTTGGGATACTTGGGGGCTGAGGGACAGAAGTGGGCCCGCTCTTTCCTCTGTTCCTGTAATTGACACCACATGGACTCTTCCTGGGTGAAGGAGCTATGAGCCCTTCTTTACGTGCATTATCTTAGTCCTCATGACCAGCGCAGAGAAGAGGTGATCATGCCCATCTTACAGATGAAGAAGCTGAGGGTCAGAGAGGAACAGTAGCTTGCCCACAGATACTCAGCTAGCACTTTTTTGTGTCCAGATTTGAACCCAGGTCCATGTGGCCTCCAACCCTGTGCTCCTAATTTCCTTCCCTAAGTGCCTCTCATAGTAGACCCGTTTGCTGAGGAGCTTTTCTAGAGAAGCTTCCCTGGCCGTCCCTTTTATCTTTTGTGTTTTTGTTTTTGTTTGTTTTTTGAGATGGAGTTTTGTTCTGTTGCCCAGGCTGGAGTGCAATGGTGTGATCTCAGCTCACCGTAACCCTTGCCTCCCGGGTTCAAGTGATTCTCCTGCCTCAGTCTTAGCTGGAATTACGGGTGTATGCCACCATGCCCAGGTGATTTTGTATTTTTAGTAGAAACGGGGTTTCACCATGTTGGCCAGGCTGGTCTTGAACTCCTGACCTCAGGTGATCCACCCGCCTTGGCCTCCCAAAGTGCTGGGATTACAAGCGTGAGCCACCGCACCTGGGCTTACATGTTTTAATCCTTTGCCCAAACCCAGGTTATGGCCTCCTCTGTCTTCATGTGGAAGGCCCAAACCTCATTCTATTACGTGAATTTTCTACACTTTGGCTCAACAAAGGCTCCAGAGCAAAACTGCCTACTGGACATCTGGGATGTGCCCTTTGGAATACAGGTGTTATCTGACTTTCCTTGTAGGTTGGGTTGATTGCAAATGGGAGTCTAGGCCACTCTCTGCCATCTCTTTGGTACTTCTGGGCCTCACCAGGAAGCCTTAAAGGGAGAGAACGTGGAGCCAAATGCTAAAACTTGGCCACGGTGACTGTTTCTAGGCTGAGAGCAGCCTGCTCCATACAAACAGTTTACAGCCAAGTGCTGCGGCACGAGTCCGGGTGGGAGCTGCTTCCTCCTCGGGCAGCCCCATGACATTGTTTTACACGAGTCTTTGTTTCCTGCCACTTGAAGCAGTGAGAGCTTGGAGCACGTCTTTATTTTTTTTATTTATTTTTGAGGTGGCATCTTGCTGTGTTGCCCAGGCTGGAGTGCAGTGGTGCGATCTCAGCTCACTGCAGCCTCCGCCTCCTGGGTGCAATTGATTCTCCTGCCTCAGCCTCCTGAGTAGATGGGATTACAAGCGTGTACCACCACACCTGGCTAATTTTTGTATTTTGAGTAGAGACGGAGTTTCACCATGTTGGCCAGGCTGGTCTTAAACTCCTGACCTTAAGTGATTCGCCCGCCTTTGCCTCCTAAGTGCTGGGATTATGGGTGAGTTACTGTACCTGGCCCCTGGGCACTTTTTAAAACGTATTTATAGAAAAACAGAAATATGTGCTCTTCATGTCACAGAACATAATGGTGACAGTCATTGCTAGTCTGATCATAACACCCTGGTCCTTCTCCCCACCCATCCTCATCCTCACTCCACACGTAAGCCTCACACATCTGTGTCATGTCATTGAAAACTGCTGTCTGCATAGCCACACACACCTTTGGGTCTCTTCTGGGCAGACCTGAACACTGTTTCAGTTCCTTCCGGAGGATGGATGCCCGAGCAGCTACTGAAAAATTCAACCAGGACCTGGGTTTCCGCATGCTCAACTGTGGGAGGACAGACCTCATCAACCAAGCCATCGAGGCCCTGGGGCCGGATGGGGTTAACACTATGGATGACCAGGTATGTCCCTAGAGCTCCACTAGGCCAGGCACGGGGACCAGAGTTGCGAATTCTCAGCTCTCAGCATTGGCGGCCCTGGGTCCTAACCCTGAGACTTGCTCAGTTCTGCTCTTTGAAGAGGGGGGCTACCTCCTGAATCCAGCCCTGCCAGGTCAAGTGGAATGTCAGCTTGGAGACTTCCAGTTTCCCTTGGAAAACCTTTGTGATGTGGCTTCTGCTTCCCTGGCTGGACAGCAGGCCACTGCTCCAGGCAGCGCAAGGCTAGGAATGAGTCCAGGAGAGTGAGCTCCCTCTCCAGCTAGGGACAATCGCTCACCCTGTATTACAGCCTGTTGTGTGCTGACTGCTTGCCCAGGCATAGAAACCCTTGCCCTCGTGGAGCTAATGCTTTAGTGGGGCAGACAGATAATAAGAAACACGGACATGTAAAATGTAGAGTATGCTGACTGAACATGCTGAGGACTGAAATGAAGCATGAAAATGGGTAGGGATGTGGGAGGTGATGTACAGTTTCAGATAGGCTTTGACTTTCGCATCTGTTTTGCTTTTTACTTTTGCTGTGAACAGCTAACATCTAGATAGCATTTACTGTGTTCCAGGCACTGTTCTAAGTGCTTCACATAGATGAACCAATCTCTTGACAGCAGCCCTGTGACGTAGCACTATTCTTTTCCCCATTGTTTCGATGAGGAAATTGAGGGACAGAGAGGTTGCTTTACCTAAGGTCACACAACTAGTAAGGGGCAGAGCTGGGTGGAGAATCTGAGAGCCGGACCCAGCCTCTCAACCGCTATGGAATATCCTGTGTGTTTGACACTGCACTGAGAGCACTCACTGTGTGCAGAGGGGCCCTGTGGGGTTTGGAAGGCCACGCAGAGCGGGGGGAGTTAAATGACAGTGGCAAGTTAAGGCAGCATTCTCAGATGAGGTGACGGTGCAGTGCAGCCTGTGATGAAGCTCCAGGCAGACCATGAGGCCAGGGTGGCCTCTGACGGATGGGACGAGCTGCCAGGGGAGGGTTCCTGCTGGAGGCAGTTGAGCCAAGCCTGGGGGAGGGCAGGATGGGGATGGCGCAGACAGGAGTGAGGAAGGCATTCCAGGGAAAGGGATGTAAAGAACGTGGGGTGGGGCAGTCAGGGTGTGTACCCGGGCCAGGGGCTGGGGAAGGACCACAGGCCCAGCGCTGGGCTTCTGGAGGGCAGCGGCAGGTGGCAGGCTGCTGTGGGGTCTCGTGGGGGCCTCTCCATCGACACAAGTTCCAGGGCTCTGTGGGAGCTTTCATCCTGGTGGAGTCTTCCTTCTTCAGCAGCACAGTGTGGAAGCCTGTGGACTTTAGCTTCAGCCAGACCTAGGATTTACTGGCCATGTAAGAGCTGTAGCTTTTGTTTTTTTTTTTTTTTTTTGGATTTTTTTTTTGTGTCTCACTCTGTCACCCAGGCCGGAGTGCAGTGGTGTGATCTCACCTCACTGCCACCTCTGCCTCCCCGGTTCAAGCAATTCTCCTGCCTCAGCCTCCTGAGTAGCTGGGATTACAGGTGTGCGCCACCATGCCCGGCTAATTTTTTTGTATTTTTAGTAGAGACAGGATTTCACCATATTGGCCAGTCTGGTCTCAATATCCTGACCTTGTGATCCGCCTACCTGGGCCTCCCAAAGTGCTGCGATTACAGGTGTGAGCCACCACACTCGGCCGAGCTGTAGCATCTTGAACAAGTTACTCTGCCTCCCTGAGGCACCTCAGTTTCCTCCCCTGTAAGATAGAGGATGGCAGCACCTGCCACATAGGGTTAGGGGAAATCCTGCATCCAGTATGGAGTTGGCGCTCAGTAAATGTTCATTCCAGTTTTGGTTGCCAATATGATGATTATTTTAGTTGTATGGTTGTCAATATGATGCTGATTCCTGAAATCTGCAAGCCAGCCTGGTTTTATTTGGCCTCTTTATATGCCCGGAGTGCGTGGGGACAGGGACCCGGGAAAAAGCAGTGTCTCCTCACAGGGCTCATCACTTGGTCTAAACTCCAAATTGTGTACAGATGTGTGGAAAAAAAGTAAGTCAAGCCTGTCCACAGGGAGATGAAACAAAGCCAAATTTTTATTCTGTGGTGTTGGCCTTCGTCTAAGTGCTCAGTCCTGTTTGTTCCCGAAACCTTAGTATTTACAGGATGATCTGGGGGAGAAAGGTCCTCTCACCCCGTGATTAATCTCAGGCCATTGCTTTATCTCTGGGCACTAGGCAAGGGTTTATAAGGAAAGGAGATCTTGTCTACACACAAATATCCTAATAAATAACATCACGGGGCACCGGGTAAACACCCACTGGGACCCAGCCACGGAATAAACAGCTCGCACGGCCTTTGCTGTTGCCAGCCACAGAGCAGGATTTCCAGCCAGGGTGGCGGCCCGCCACCTGCCCACCTAACCCAGGGAGACAGCGGGACACAGCTTGCTGGAACGCTCTGGACTGCTCAGGAGCACAAAACGCTGAAGTCAAACACCTCCTCTACTGTCTCATGAGACATCGCAAAGCACGGGCTTCACAGCTTATGGAGGCCTGGGTCCTGCCCCACGTTCAACCTCTCACTAGTTGTGTGACTTTGGGCAGTTAATTCCCCTTCTCTGCTCCTCAGCTGTAAAATGGGGAGAACGGGATATGATGATGGAGGGAGAGGCTGCATGTTAATCACGGGCACGGTGATTTCCACGCACGGGCCTGGGATGGCGACTATGAGACTCCATGGCACAGTAGCCGTCAGAGTATTGTTGGTATTTTAATTAGGTAGTTCTTAATCAAGGTAAGCTCACTCTGAACTAAGCACTTTATACATATTAATCCACAGTCTGCAACAACCCTTTGAGGGAGATAAGATACTGCTGTCGTTACTCATTTACAGATGAAGAAACTGAGGCACGGAGAGGGCAAATAACTTGTACCAAGTTTACAGCTTCCCATGGCAGAGGAGGCCTTCGCCCCGAGCCTGGCAGCATGGCCTGTGCTGGCCCCCACTCCAGTGTCCTGCAGTGCTCATGGCAGTGCCCCCACTCACCCTCTCTGTGCCCTATCCCCAGCAGCCCAGGAAGCACGAAACCCAGGGGAGCACAGGGTGGTGGGGGCCCGATCTGTGGTTTCTGGGGCAGTGGCCTGTGGGTACACAGTGTTGTGTTCCGTTTGCAAAGAGTTTAGCATGTGTGTTTGATTTGCTCAGGGTATGACACCGCTGATGTACGCCTGCGCTGCAGGGGACGAGGCGATGGTCCAGATGTTGATTGATGCTGGGGCAAACCTGGACATCCAGGTGAGGAAGCCCCACAGAGCTGCACGCGGGTCCTAGGCCAGCAGGGATCACCCTGAGGTCTCCAGCAAACACACTGTGTGTGGTGTTTTGGGCAACTGAGTTGATGTGCATCAAAAGACGAGAAAGACAAGATGCACAGAGGCCATCGTTAGCACAGGGGAGTCTTACCGAGTTCTGGGCTTTCTGTCTGAGAGGCAGTGGGCTGAGGCGGAAGTTGAGTGGAGAGACGGGCTGTGACGCTGTTTTTATAGATCTTTCTCCTTTGACCAGCCTAATCTCCAGCCATTCCTTCCATCCCCAAATAATTCTAGCTCTGCCTCCCTCTGAGGCATAACGCACCACCGCGCCCCACCACCGTCTTTTGCCCAGGGAAGACATTGCCAGTTAAACACCCATCCTCTCTTTTCGAGCCTTGTCACTCAGCGCTCCAGGCAGACATTACCAATCGAATGTAGAAAAACACTTGTTGACTCCTGTTCCCCATCCCTGCAGGGTGCTCCCTTCGCTAGGGTGCCCAGGAAACACACATGATTTGTGGTATTTTCCAGGTTCCAAGCAACTCTCCTAGGCACCCTTCCATCCACCCTGACAGCCGGCACTGGACCTCGCTGACATTTGCTGTGCTGCATGGACACATCTCTGTGGTCCAGGTGAGCTCCTGTGGTCCAGGTGAACATCGTGGCCCCAGCCTACCAGGTGGGCTGGGCCCCAAGCACAGCCCCAGCCTCAGCTGAGTGGGCAGGTGCCCTCAATCAGAGATCCCAAAGGCACTTTTTAAGGCCGGCTCACCTGATCGATAAGGCAGCTGCCACCTGAGTTGCCTCAAGGCGAGGGGTTAGTGCAAGGACACGTGGAATTTTAGGAAACAGGACCTGGGTCCAGGCAGCACTAGGGTCCTGTCACACCCTCCTGGAACCTCTGTCTTTCTCGTGTCGGGCACACTGGTGCTGTCCCAGTCCAGCTCAGCTTTCTCACCTCCAGCCATCTTTCCAACCCTTCCCTTTTTTCCTCCCTCGTGAATTCTGCTGCAGGGCTGGCTTTTTGTGATGGGGTCTATGCAATTCTGTCCCCTCCCCAGTTCCTGAGAGAGGACTCAGACTCAGATTGGCACTGCTCACCTGTAGAGCCAAGCCGCAGGTGGCCCACCTCGGCCCAGGTAGCTGTGCTAGCATCGGGACAGGTGGTAGTTCTAGAAGCAGAAGCTGTGGGCAGAGCAGCTCCCCATGCCAACACGCGCCCCAGCCAAATGCACTTACTCCCAGGTCCTCAGATCGCTGGCATGCACAGGGTTTCATGGCATCCCTTCCAGGGAGCTGGTGTGATGCCTTCGCTCCCCACTAGGCTGCAAGGCCTCTGAGGGCGGGGATCATGTCTGGCTGATTCACAGCCCTAGCCTATCCCAAGGACTCCATGAATGGCCATTACTCACTGGCTGCCACATCCTGCCGCCTTTGCCTTATGAGGACTGGAGCAAAATCCCAACCTCAGCTCAGACTGGGCCTGCGGGGCTATGCCCTGGGCTTGCCTGGACTCATGCCCAGTTTTGTCCCAGTGAGCAGGCCCCCACCTCCATGGCCTTGGCACTGGTGCAGAGAATGGTGCCATGGCTGATTTCTGACTGCTGCATCTCCAGTGATGGCTGTCCCACATGCCATACAGTCCGTGGGATTGAGCGATCAGCCCGAACTCCACTCCTGGTATCCAGGCGAATGGCGGGTGGGGCTTGCCTAGGCTGCCATGCATGCTTGGAGGAAGGTTTGGTCTCCAGGAGCCTGGGAGGGCTGGAAGGTTGCTCCCTCCAGAGCAGCCGGGCAGGGTAGGTAGAACAGGAGCTGAAAGTCACCAGTTGGAGTAACGCAGACCCCACCCCTGCCCCAAGGCAGAGCCAGGACCGGCTCATCTGGAACTGCCTGGTATCTGTTAACCCTGCCCCGTCTGTCCCCTGTCAGCGTCAGCCGTTGCTAGCATGGGGAGAGGCCCTCTGCTGTCCTAGACTGGGACTTTCTGCTCCAGCCACACCACCAGCCATCCTGGGGTAGCTGCTGTACCTCTCCCATAAGAAGCTGAAGGGAAGCAGCCCCCTCTTCCCATTCTGTGGATGAGAAAGACTGAGGCTCCGGGAGTTGAAGTACCTGCCAGGGGTTACTCACTGGTCAGTGGCCAGCACTGGCACCCTGCTCCTTCTGACTCCGAACACCTGCTGCCACCCAGAGCCACGGTTTACCCCATAGATCGGGGGCAACATTTTCTTTTTCTTTTTTTTTTGACACGGAGGCTTGCTGTGTCACACAGGCTCGAGTGCAATGGCAAGATCTCTGCTCACCACAACCTCTGCCTCCTGGGTTCAAGCAATTCTCCTGCCTCAGCCTCCAGAGTAGCTGGAATTACAGGCATACACCACCACACCCAGCTAATATATTGTATTTTTAGTAGAGACGGGTTCACCATGTTTGCCAGGCTGCTCTTGAACTCCTGACTTCATGATCCTCCCGCCTCAGCCTCTCAAAGCGCTGGGATTACAGGTGTGAGCCACTGCGCCCAGTCTGAGGGCAACATTTTCTATGCTTCTCATGCACACGAGTTCTCGGAAAGGTGGCCACAGCCAGTTCATGGGAAAGCATTCGAAAGACAGAAAAAGCTCAGAGGTCCTAACAGCTTAGGAGCTTGGTCCTGGGTCACAAGAATGGAGCTGAAGATTCTAGAAACTTTGAGCCCCGAGGATAACCCGGAGTTCTAAAGTTCCAGTTCCTCAGCTGCTGGGGTGAACCGTGTCTTGGTCACAGGCCTGGAGAGAACTAAAGGCCTTGTCCCCCAAAGCACTCTGGCCCTTCCCAGGTGCTCTCTGTCGTGCTGAGCAGTGCCCTCCCCCTCTGTGTCCCTGGCAGTTGTTGCTGGACGCTGGTGCCCATGTGGAGGGCTCAGCAGTGAATGGCAGCGAGGACAGCTACACGGAGACGCCTCTGCAGCTGGCCTCTGCGGCAGGTAGGTACTGCTGCCCGGAGGCTCTGAATGCCCTTCCCTGAATGCCCTCCATCCTGGCCAGGCATGTAGCTGGACGTGCAGGGGTCTCTGTGGCACACACAGACCCTGGGGGGGGGTGGTCCTTGAAACCCCTTCTCTGGGCCACTGGGGGGCTTCCCCTGGCCCCACCCATCAGTTTCTCTTGGGCTCAGAATCCGGCAGGACTCAGCAGGGCAGGGAGGCCCTTCCCTCTGGGGACCCGGAGAGGGGGGCACAGGGGCAGGGCACAGCCAGCCTTCTTCCTCTCCCTGCACTTCATCTGCCAAATGCAGATGAGCATGGGGTTTGCTGATTTATTCCATTGCTCAGAGCTGCAAGAATCCTGCTTTCCGTCCCTTTCACCTCAGCTGCCCTGGCGGCCACCGTCTCAGTGTCCTCCATGCTGCCCGCCTTCCCTTTCAGGAAACTACGAGCTGGTCAGTTTGCTGCTGAGCCGAGGTGCCGACCCGCTTCTCAGCATGCTCGAGGCCCACGGCATGGGCTCCTCCCTCCATGAGGACATGAACTGCTTCAGCCACTCAGCTGCCCACGGCCACAGGTACCTGCCTGGGATTCCTACCCTATGTGATGTGAGGGCGCTGAAATAAGCTCACAGGAGCCTCAGTTCCCCCAATGGGAGCAGAAAAACTAGGCCTGGAGACCTTTCCAAGCCTGTGTGCAAGTAAACCAGAAAGATGAGGGCCTCGAGCCAGCGCCGGTGCCGGAGATGGGGGAGGCCCCGCAGCTGGTTCCTGGCAGAGCTGGGACTGGAGCCTGGGCCTCCCGACACCCAGGGAAGACCGTCCCCTTTCCCAGTGAGACGCCGCTCTGCAGCTGCCACAGCCCATGCAGGACCACACTGCTTCCCACACCTGCTGGTGCTCTACCAGTGCCCAAGTGGCCTTGGGCATCCAGACAGCGTACAGCTCAGCCATGCAGAGGCTCCTGGTGTGAAACTGCACCCTACCCTGGGTGTAGATGGTGGCGTTTGCTTTGTGGGGACCAGGCCTGCCCAGGGGTATGTGGGACAGCAGCAGGCCAAAGTCAGAGGCAGCACAGAGGGGCAGAAGGAGACTAGACAAGAGGTGATTACAGGGCAGAAATGGGGCTGGAAAAGCAGGGCTGGCTGGCAGGACACTGACTTCCAGTTCCCCAACACTGTTCTCGCCACCAGGCTCGTGCTCGGGCTGGGGTCCCCTCCCCTAGAATGCTTTTCTCTCTGACTGTCTCCAACCCACCCTCACGTTCACCCAGCTCAGCAGCGCCGACCCCCCAGGTACCATCTTCCACGTCGCCACCTCTAGGCCTCTCCACCCCCCCCCAGGGCCCGCATCCCCCGGTGGAGACCTTGTCACCATGCGTGGAGACTGCCCGCCTGCTCATCCGCCTGTCACTCTGAGCACAGGACCCTTGGGATGGGCAGGGTGGATAGTTCACCTTCACGTGCCCGGCTCTGTAAACTGCTGAGCTCGCGAGTCCATACGTGAAGAGGAGTCCTTGGGAGGGACCTTGGGTCCTTGGAAGGGCACCTCCAGGCCATGGGTTGGCAGGTATGAGGAGGGTCTGCCAGGTGGCATCGGAGCAGGTCAGCCCCCGGTAATCTTGCAGTCCCACCCATGCTGCATCCATCCCAGAGCCCCAGGCCACAGGAGGTGACAGAATAAGCCTAGGCTTGGAACCAGAACTCCTAGGTCTCTACCCTCACCCAGAGTGGCCTTGAGCAAGATGGATTCGTCGCCTGTGACAGCGATGCATGTGGGCTGTCACGAGGCTAAACGCAGCAATGCAGGGGAGCATCCTCCACGGGGTCTAACATTCTGTGTCTTCATTCATAAATATGAAGAAATTCTACATGACATTCATCTTCAATTCATCCTTATCAACGTGAAGGGACCAAATAAGCACTTACTGGGCTCTTCCTCTGTTTTAGACACTTTTACATGCAGAGTCAGATTTAAAGCCTTACATCAGCCTCATTTTAACACTGGGAAAGTGCAATACTCACATCCTGTAATACAGATACCAAAGCAGTCAGGGCTCAGCCCCAAAGCCTGGGACTTCTCGGCAATGCCAGGATGGTGGAAGGGTGGGTTCCCCTGCACTCTGCCCTGCCTCTCGGTGTATGGGGATTGGTGACCCTGGGAGCCCTGGCCTACCTGCCTGGAGGAGGAAGACCATGACCCTCTGAGCCCTCAGATGCCCCAGAGCAGCCTGTCGGGGCAAGGGAGTGCGGGGAGCAGCTCAGGCGGGCACTGCCTGTGGGACCTCAGCCCTCGCCTTCATTCATCCCTGGGCCCGCAGGAATGTCCTGAGGAAGCTCCTGACGCAGCCGCAGCAGGCGAAAGCAGACGTGCTGTCCCTGGAGGAGATCCTGGCTGAGGGTGTGGAGGAAAGCGACACGTCAAGCCAGGGCAGCGGCAGCGAGGGGCCCGTGCGGCTGAGCCGGACCCGCACCAAGGCCCTGCAAGAGGCCATGTACTACAGCGCCGAGCATGGTTACGTGGACATCACCATGGAGCTGAGGGCGCTGGGTGAGGCCTCGCGGGCATGCACACGCATGTCTGTGCGTGCATACAGACACACACGGTCACTCCCTGTGCTGCTCTCCAGCAGGCCTGAGAGGGCCAGGCCCCGCAGGGGCAGACAAGCTCCAGGGCAGCTGAGCACAGACAGGGTGGAGGCTGGGACGCTCCTGCTGCGGCCAGGTCAGGAGGGGCCCTGGGCCTTAGACAGTGCTCAGCAGTGCCACGTCTTGGGGTCAAGGCCCAGCCCTCTCCCCTCGGGCCCTCCACTCTGCCTGGCTGGAGCTTCGCTGCCCCCTCCCCAGTCACAGCCCAGGGATGTGGAGCACTGTGAGCCTCTGCAGCCTCAGGACTCCACGCTGTGAGGCGGCAGGCCTGGCACTCAGCTAACCTTTCAATCCTTGGGTCTGTGAGTCTGTGGACTTTGGGTGTCCTCCAGGGAGGCCGGTCGGATAGACAGGTCAGATCCTGTGTTAGCCGCGCACCACATCACCTCCCCCAGCCTCAATTCCCGCCTCTCTCTGTGGGTTTGGTGCCAATGATCCTTCTCTAAAAATGGGGTGACATCACCTAAAGTACAAGGCATGGTGGCCACCGTGAGCACTTGGTGGATGATAGCACTGTCATTGTCATCACAGGACCACAAACCCCCAGGGCTGGGCAAAGACAGTAGTGAGTCAGCCGCAATGTTCCTCACTATGAAATGGAGAGGTCACTCCCACCTGCAGTCAGTGACCCAAGGATGCCACCACCACCACACTGCTGTCACTGTGTCGCTGGCGAACGTCATCAGTTCTTTTTTAACCCACAGTGAGGCTGGGGGGTAAGAAGCTATCTCTCTAATTACCAGGGACATGACTAGTTTATGTCATGAACTTCTCACAACAATGCTAAGTTATAGCCCCACTGACACACACTGGGAACTGGTAAACAGTCATTATGCACCTGGGTACGTGCAGTGGCATTCCCGTGAGCTGCAAGACCAGGTGGGTTCCGGGCTTCTGTGCAGGTGTGGAGGCCTGTGTGTCCTTGGGCGCCTGGCATACTCTCTGGCCATCCAAGCCCTCCTGGCCACCCCTCCACAACTGAGACCTCTCTAGCAAATAATTCTTGAGCCCAATAAATAACAAGGCTGCTATGGGTGCTGGGCCAACACTTCAAAATCCCTGGGCTAGGCTAACTTTCAGAGCTTGAGTTCCCTGCATTTGGGCTGGAGCTATTCCTCCATCTCATCTCATGAGAACCTGAAACTCCACTCTGACCTGCCAGCAAAGCTTATCAGAATGAATTAAAGCTTTCATGCCACGGCCATCCTGAGAGGGCCACTCAGGGCACAGGAAGGGGGCAGGCGGGAGGGGACAGGGTGCTCTACAGACAACACTGGGGCGTCCTGGGAGTCTGTGCCAGGAGCGCTTAGCTGCGATGTGTGACTACTGCCTGCTCTTCCCTGCCTGGGCCAGGGGTCCCCTGGAAGCTGCACATCTGGATCGAGTCTCTGAGGACCTCCTTCTCACAGTCACGGTACTCAATGGTGCAAAGCCTCCTGCGGGACTTCAGCTCCATCAAGGAGGAAGAGTACAACGAGGAGCTGGTGACCGAGGGCTTGCAGCTCATGTTTGACATCCTCAAGACCAGCAAGGTGAGTGTGGCCAGTGAGTGACTGGTTCCCAAGCCTACGGCCCAGACCCAGATCACGGGACAGACACACAGATGGACACATGCAGACAGACACAGGGATCTCCCACCCAACACACACACACACAAACACACACACACACACACACACACACACACAGAGGGATCTCCCACCACACACACACACACACACACACACACACACACACACACACGAAACTCCCACCCAACACACACACACCCCCCACACCCGCCCGCCCCCAGCACCCAGACTTAGACTTGCACTGCCTGGCTATAGAGGTCATAGGCCATGGATGCGTCTGGGCTGGAACTTAGCCAAAAAAGCCATTTGGGGAATCACTGATGAAGGAACAGACATTTCTTGCCAAGCCACATCCAGCAGGGACAAAAGAGAGCGGCTGCTCTAATCCTGGCCTGGACTTTTGAAATTGGCCTGACGTATCTGCGTCTGTGAACAGACAGGCAGCTCACAGGCCCTCTCTCCCCTCCCCACAGAACGACTCCGTCATCCAGCAACTGGCTGCCATCTTCACCCACTGCTACGGCAGCAGCCCCATCCCCAGCATCCCAGAGATCCGGAAGACCCTGCCAGCCAGGCTAGGTGAAGGCCCACCCCCTGCACCCTGCACCGCCACACGCCCTCCCCCTCCCTCCTTCCCTTCTCACCCCCTCCCCACTTTGCCATCTTTCTCCATTTCCAGGTGCCAAGGCCCCAGCCTCAGTCACTCTGTTCCTCACCTCTGTGTCCCACTCCCAACCCCTGACACGCATCTCACAGCACACTCAAGCAGCCCCTAGCAGGGGACTCCTTGGCCATATCCCTCAGTCTCCCCCGTTTTCACAGATCCGCACTTTCTGAACAATAAGGAGATGTCAGACGTGACCTTCCTAGTGGAAGGAAAGCTGTTTTATGCACATAAAGTCCTGCTGGTGACAGCTTCTAACAGGTAGGCAGCCTCAGACAACAAACTCCCAGTCCAGGGGCGTGGAAGCAGCTTGTTTCAGGTTTGAGGTGACAGAGAGTGAGGTGCTGGGGCTGTACCCTGACCCCTCTGTCCTTGAGACTGCGGTCACATCGCAGTGGAGCCCCATTTGCCTCATGGTGGGATGAGGCAGGGTGGACAAGGGGTAGCAGGAAAGGGGGGCTCTGAGGTGGCGTTCTTTCTGGCTGAGTTATTACTTTTGATTATTAGAAAACATAAATATTCTGGAAGGAAGAGTCAACATTCTGGCCACAGATGTCAGGTCACTTGTATGGGGGACAGAATCAGGCTCAGCCCAGATGTCTTCCCAGGACGATGTAAAATGGCACTTGCTGAAAATTATTCTAGGAGCACAGCAGTAATTTGTAAAATGCTCCGTCTCCTGGTAGCTGGTCAGGTGACAACGATGCCATTGCACACAGCGGTGGAGAAAAGGTTCAAAACCTGCCTTGCTCTGTCTCCTTTGCTCCAGGTTCAAGACACTAATGACCAATAAATCCGAACAGGATGGGGACAGCAGTAAGACCATTGAGATCAGCGACATGAAGTACCACATTTTTCAGGTGTGTGGGTGTTGGTGCCGTCCTCTTCTCGGAGGGTTGCCCCTCCCCCAGGAGCTCACCTTTGTGGGCGGCTGTGTGTTAGTTGTAATTGTCCACTCTATTCTCAGTGCCTTCTGTATTTCGTGAACCAGTAGAGCATCCAGGTCTCTCTCTCTGCAGAGGTGGCCATCCCGTTGTGGGGTTGCAGCTTCAGAGCCTGTCGCATTGGTCCTGAACTCTAACTGCTGGACAGGTGGTCTGGGCGGACTGCAGACGGACATGCGAGGCCACACAGCTGGGTTATGAGTCCCTTTTATCAGAGTGGGCTCCAGCCAATGGGCATTACTGAGAGCTTGTTGGAAATGCAGAGCCCCAGGCCCCACCCCAGCCCTCCTGCATCTTCACAAGATCCCCAGGCAGCCGCGTGCTCGGTACAGTTTGGGAGGTGCTGGTGGAGGCTGCGTCACTTCTCCCAAACATCAAACCTCAGCCACGCTGGTCAGGCAGAAAAGGCTGTGAGGCACACATCCTGATTGTAGAAGATCAAAGGTCTATCGGGCTCTCAGCTTTGCAGAACATACAAGGTTATGTACTAGAAACTCTAGTCAGGGCAGACAAGGTCCAGAGGAAGAGACCCAGCTGGGATCTCAGCTGATGGATGTGGGGGAGGGGAGGCCAGGGTTCTGGCATAGGTGGTGGTGTCTCCCCTTCCTTCTTTTCCCACCCTTTAATCCAACTCTCTGGAGAATAGGCAGGTGCGTGGGAGTGGGAGGTGGAGTCATACTCAGATCAGTCAGGAGGCAGGTCCTAGAGGGGCTGCAGGGATCACTGGAGACTAGGGAGCGCGCGTGTGGCCACGGGTGACCGCTGCCTGTAAGGGGACGTGTGCGGGCTTGGCCACCTGTGCTTACCGGCCAGGCCAAGGGAGGGCATCTGTCACAAAACAGGCTCAGCAGCCCATTGGCTCCGCCCAGGGTTGCTGGGAGGGCAAATAGGGGACAGGCTTCATGTCCACAGCACACACGTGCCTTCCCCTGGGCTTCTCGCCATGTTCTGACCAATTGTTCTAACCAGCCCCAGGGCATTGGCCTTGCCCCGTGGGTCCCCTGGGTGCAGAACTTTGCCGTATCTGGGGCATCATTTCAGATGGGGCTTCTAGACCTCAGCTTTCTGGGCTTCCCTGGAGGGGCTGGCCTGAAGCCATCAATCTGGGGAAGGGCTCCCTAACAAAGCCTGAACGGTTTCCAGCAACCCCCATATATATCTATATCTATATTTATCTATCTATCTATATCTATGTATATATATATATAT